TTTCAGTAGTTAGCCCATTTCCGTCCTTTTTCAGAAGTAGTTACGAGTTGTTTCGGAGGAGGTCAGGGGTCGAAGGTAGTTACTTTTCTGTGTGTCATGCTGTCAGAGCAGAGGTCAGAGTTGCTGGTGGATGCTGTTGTGGTGGGGTCATTAAGACACATTTGGCTATGCTCTTGGGTATTTATGAATTATTCAGTGTAAAAAAGGAATCCAGTAAGATCGTGTTACAGAGGAATTCAATTAGGTAATCTCCATATAGGCAGATAGTTTTAGTAGGATTTTCATTGAGAAAAGTGTCAAGGCCCCTGACTGGTGTGCCTAAAGAATGGACTAGCCAATGATGGGCCTAGACTATTGACTGAAAATTGCCCATACTGCATACCAGTTGTTCCAATTCAATTCTTCAATCTCCAGAAACGTGTTCCTCTGACTGTGTGAATTCCTAGAATACCAGGCGTGGTTAAAGGTAGTTAGTTCTCCATTGAATTATTGAACAGGCCAGTCAGTTGGATTGCTAATCTACTGTTTTTACGGAGACCATTTCAGTGATTAAGACGATTGTTTCATTAATAATTTCTGACTGGGCTGCATATACGTAACATACACCTGTACAGTGGCTATGTAAAAACACTTCATTCTCAAACCAGCCTTTGTCAGGTGTGCCAAAAAGTGCAGATCTCAGACCTCATTGTACATGCAAGAATGCCAAGTCCTTTTTATAGTAGCGAGGAACTTGAAAGGAATGTCTGGAAATTTTCAAAGGCAGTATAGCGATATATATACATGAATGGTATACAAATGTACCCGCTGTGACCAGGTACATAGGCCAGGAATGATACAGTTTTTGTAATATTCAAAAACATGTGAGTTATAGATTCCTTACAAAACATCTGATGTCTAAAATCAGCTTTAGTTGGCAGATATTCATAATGCATTGTGTGCAGGAATTTTGGCTTAGAATTACGAATAGATGTCCGGGATATGATAAGTTAGAAGTCAATTAAGACATTATTTAGTCAGACAGATTGATGAAACATATTCGTATCACAATTTTTTTCCAATCCATGTCAGTGGCTGACTATCCAGCACAGCCAGACGATAATGTCACCTGAGTAGTGATGTTTATTAGAACTAAGATGTTAATATATCATCAGCGTAATTAAAATCTACACCATTCATGTTATTAAATGGAGCCATTTGTATAGGTATGTCATTTCTGAGGATAAAAGTAGAGATCACCTGTCAGACGTATTGTGGTAGTGTAATGTACTAGCTAAGGAGTTTTACAAAACTACTTACCGAGCTGTTATCAGGTATAAATTATGTGATAATTGGCTGTATAACTTTCCTTTTCTTAGACATGTTTACTTCCTGCTAGAGGTACTCATACCCATAGGAACTATTTCATGTAACCTTGGATTGGTACATATCCCATTAGTGCCTTTTGCTTGTTTGAGATCTGTCAGCAGACATTGGTCCCAAATCCATCAGCAGCCCTATTGGTCCCAAATCCATCAGCAGTCCCTACTGGTCCCAATTCCATCACCAGCCCTATTGGTCCCAAATCAATTAGCATCCCCTATTGGTCACAGATCCATCAGCAGTCCCTAGTAGTAACAGATAATGGTACATAGATTGGCCTACAGCCATACAACACCCCCTTTTGGTTATAGCTATCGAATCATTAATTTTTGTTCAGTATTAATAGTGTAATAAAATCATCAGGAAATATCAAATACAATTTGTCCTTAGCAGACGATAAATCAAACTTAACTAGTTGGCATTTCTGATCTTTTTATTCCCCACTCCAGAGGTCACACTTTGTATGTTAATGGTGGACATTGCCAAACGTAATCAGTGATCAGACTTTGGTAATACAGTGATCAGACTTTGGTAAATACAGTGATCAGACTTTGGTAATACAGTGATCAGACTTTGGTAATACAGTGATCAGACTTTGGTAATACAGTGAGCAGACTTTGGTAATACAGTGATCAGACTTTGGTAATACAGTGAGCCTTTTGTCAGAGAGTTATATATATATATATATAGTGGTCTTCTCAATTAGAAATCAAGAGGACAGATACAATGATGTTGTATTATAAATAAGGGCGGACAATCAACCCGGGCAGCACACGGTAGTTATTAGTCATAGATAGCAATTGTAGTAAGGCTTTATCAGCAATTGATTCACATAACTATCTGTGTAGTCACTGCATGCCACAGTTCTCACCTGGAGAACAAGCTTCAGGTACGCGTTTCAGGTATGTGCTCTTCAGGTACGCGCTTCAGATACATGTGTTGGACAGGATTTCCAATGCTCTTCGGTACCTTGTACTGTCAGTATGGTTTACATAGGTTTTAATGCCGCTTGAGTTTAGTAAATAATCCTGTTTGACTTGTGTACTTAAGTGTGTGTATTATATTGATAGTATCCTAGTTATGTCAGGTTCCGTAAGCCAGAAAAACTAGGCACTGGATCTCGAGTATTGATTATCAATTTACTGTGCAGGTCACGTTTGTGGACAAATATTCTAAACCGTCCGTTACCAATCAGTTCCAATGGAATTTCTAATTAATAGCATGTCAGGAAGGAATCCACACTGTCAATTAACAAAGTCAACAATACCTAGAAACTTTTTTAAACTCAAATACCATGTAACTGTGAATCACATCAGATTCTATATAAGTAGCAATAAAAAATAACATTGCAAGAATAACTTACAATTAAAAAATAAATGTATTTTATTTTTAGTTAGTGGTAGGTACAAATTTAGATTGGTGGGGTCAGACAGTTGTTGATGAGAATTATAAAGGTTTATGTCGTAGTGATGTATGGAATATCATCATACACCTCTATATATCACTAGGGTTGATCTGGTGTACTAAAGTCATATCACATTCTTATGTAAATACAATCGTTTGGTGTGGGTTTGTGTTGATGGGTCGGGGACTACCTGACTATCATAAACTTAGCTAGGTGTCTTAGGTCACCATGCCCCTGTTCATCATTGGTACCAAGTTATTCGGTGCTTTACCCCCGATCAGTAATTAACCAAGCGGTGTGTCGTGTAGACCTCATCACTTTGTTGATGTGGAACAGTAGCCAGTGTTGAAGCGGGACATGGCCCAATGTTGAAGCGGGACATGGCCCAGTGTTGAAGTGGGACATGGCCCAGTGTTGATGTGGGACATGGCCCAGTGTTGAAGCGGGACATGGCCCAGTGTTGATGTGGGACATGGCCCAGTGTTGAAGCGGGACATGGCCCAGTGTTGATGTGGGACACAGTCCAGTAGCAATGTCCGGTCCAGTAGCTAGCCAACCATACTAATGTAGATAAACATCCTCCAGTATATGACCAGGTTAAGCTGTTCAAACAAGGTCATCCTTTACTTTATACAGAAAGTATTTACTTCAAAAATGGGTGTCATACACTCTGGGCTGCTAAAGAATATTTTAACAGTGATTGGGAAATGAAGGTGATGGTGGTTTTTTTTAAAACAAGCAAAAATATATTCCTCAAAAAAGTATTGTTTATAACCAATAAAAGCTATCAAAACCATGACTACCCTGAACTTGGGTATCTTTGTAGGTGAAGAGCCTTTTAAAAAAATCATGTGTGAATTTTGACATGAAATGTACCTACAAAATCTTTCCTGAGACTTTCTCATGTTATTTGTCAGTCTGTGTTGAGATAGGATGTATATGATTGGTCATAAAAGAGTAAATCTTTGTCAACGGTTGTCTAGAAAATGTAAGCATGGAAGAAAACATCTCTTATCTGAAGTCTGACATTTAAAGGGATAAAAAGTTTTAAAAAATGGCTAGGTTGTCCTGTCTGTTGGCTGATGGAAATATTGCGAAAAACAAGTCTGAAAATTGTATCACAAAATCTTAGACATGTTGGATTACCCTGTAGAGCAGTAATTCGCAATCACTTCCAGTATATGTTTGTCCAAGCTGTGACGTTTAGAAGGATCTTCATTACTCTGGGGGTCAAACATCTAACATTTTTTAAATTTTAGCAAAACAATCTCCTATCTTTAGGGATTTAACTGAAAATAGTTCACAGTTGCCAAAAAATACCCATGTCTAAAACAATTCCACTTGACAAGAGAAATGCGGTCACAGTATTACAGACTAGAGGGATGTGTGGTGACTAGCCGACCTGTGCGCCCCCTACAATTACTTTTATCTCTGTCAGTTGCTAACTCCATTCAAAATACGTGTTACATAGTGGACAAAAAATTGTGTTGACTGCAGGACGGCTAGGTCGTCTTGTCTAGTGGTGTAGCCTGGTCCCGACAGTTACCTTAACCAAATACACGCCCACTCAAAATTTACAAATGTTGGTACGTCTACCTGATAAATCATACAATTTCTAGACGCTGTTTATCTTACCTGATCTCCATACCAATGCACTACCGCAGTAACTTCCTTTTAGTCTAGGGTTAAGTGCAGCAAGTTGTCCTGAATTTTAATAACTTTGAGGCGATTCAAGACATGTACACAGATTATGTTTCATTATTAAATATGAGAACCTGTTGACACAAGTCAAGGATATTGGCATATATTTGTAAACATTTCGTCAGCTGACTAGCAAAACATCTAATGCAAAATACAAGATTTTCTATCCTAAGTTAAGAAACAAACTTAATCTTTTAACTATAAAAAGACTTGAAATAATTTTTGAGATTATACATTTTGTAGAAATATTTATAGTATTCAAAGGAAATCGTTCTTAATGTACAGTTAACCATATCCTGATAAGTCCTCCCTGATGTCAATAAACAAGCTCTTTATCAGGTTATATTCCTGGTTAAAGCTCCCCAAAAGATTAATATTGTATAAAATTAAACAAATCAACTGAAGAATGGAAGCCTGTTTTAGATATTGTATTCAGAATGACAGGAAGTGAGTTTGGTGGATTTCTGACAGTTTATGTTGTATTCTAATGAAGCTGACAGTTTTGCTAACAGGCATATTTTGTATATTACAGTGTTTGAGAACAAGGACAGGATTATTTTGGTGATGGACTGTGCAACCAGTGGCGAACTTTATGACTACATAAACAATCGCAGTCAACTCGCTGAAGCTGATGCTCGACGCATCTTTCGACAAATCGTGTCTGCCGTTCATTGCTGTCATCAAGTACGTATTCAGGCTTTCGCATTCAAGATTTCCAGTCCCATGATATGACAACCCTATTGGGAGAAAATAGAATATAGTTACAGGTCATGATGGGGAATGTGTAAAATCACACATTAACAACTGTTAGATAGCTCCTGGTGAAAATGAAAGTGGTGTGTGTGTGTGTGTGTGTGTGTGTGTGTGTGTGGGGGGGGGGGGGGGGGGNGGGGGGGGGGGGGGGTGGGGTAGCATTTAAATTTGAAAATTGTAAGATGAATTGTGACAAGGTATTGATGTTACAACAATTAATATGGGTACTGTTATATTACAGAATGGCATTGTACATAGGGATCTGAAGCTGGAGAATATCGTGTTAGACCACGATGGCAATGTTAAGGTACGTGTACATTGTGATGTTGTTCCACTACTGTATTGTTGGTACTACATGTACATTGTGATGTTGTTCCACTACTGTATTGTT